ATCGCTTCTGGATTTTGAAGTCGAACATCTAGGGCAACTAAACAATTGCCCAATATTTTGTCAAAGACGTTAGCAATGGATGATCTATCCATTTCCATAACTAGATCTTCTAAGATATTAAAAGCAATGACCAAGCTTGCATTCCCAGAACTATCACTAACAAGTTCTTCACACATCTTCCCAAATAATTCGATAGTTATATCATCAGCATTCAGCTCTCTCCTGTTTTGGGCAGATTCAAGCATTGACCGAGCAATATCTTTATCCACAGGCGCTACTAGGACCTATTCTCTCACAAGCCGTCGTTAAACCGCCATCTTCACTTAAAGAGCACCCACATGTACCCACGGTAGAAAAGGTGGATGAGTGGTTGGTTTCTTGCATCACTCAGATGGCAACCTCTTACTCTGACCTTGCGCTTAAACACGAGGTAAACAGTGTAAAACTGTATCTTCCTCGATAACAAATTACAATACTCACTCAACTTTTTATGGTACAGGTGCCAAAGGAAGCGAGGAGTAAGGGTTTACGTGAAAAGGTATCACGTGCTCTACAAGGTTTAGCTCCCTGCTAAATCTCTGGCTTACTTGCACATAATCCATTTACACGATATTATCCTTACCAAACTTGAATCTCTTGCCTCTGAGTTACGTGAATTGAATAATCTCTTCTTTCTTTCAAAGATTGAGACTTCCATATAAAAACGCTTATGTGCTACACTATCCATCTGTAAAACGATTCAGTTTTTTCTTTTTGCTAAGTAACGATTCAGATTCATGTGTCAATTTCCAATATTCTCTAATCACTTAAAAGTGCTAATATTTCACATTTACAGTTCTGATTGGCATCTTCAGGTTAATTTATTGGTTTCGTTTTATAAGTAAACTAAGCTATGAAGTAAGCAATTAGAAATTATAGTACTTGTGTTTTCTAGATAGAAATTGGAAAAAGAAGAAGAAGAAGAAAATAAAATGTTGAAAGTCGTAGACAAGATTTTAGGGTTGGTGTCCGCAATTCAGAGAGATGGAGAGAATTTTAAGGTGTGGAGTCTAAGAGCGACGCCATTGAATTATTTATTCCGTATCTCTTCTTCTACGCGTTTCGCCACCGCGATATATGGAAGAAGATCCTACCACTCATCACTCGCTCATCACAGCTGGCTGACACATTTGCAGCTCTACTGTGAGAAGGAAAGGCTTTTCAGATGATCAGTTTGAACAGTTGTAGCAATTCATCGGCATTGGTGATATTTTGGGTGCTAGTAGCTCGATGAAGAGAAACTGAGAAAGTTGGAACTTGAATAAAGTGATTAAACTCGATGGAGAATCTTTTGTTTTTGGGGTTTGTTTACTAACTGTTTGGTCTCTGAACTTTCCAGGGGAGCTTTCTATATGTGTGAATTCTTTTTCAATTCTCATCAAATCTCTCCTTCCACTGCCAGACAGATATCATGGCCTAACTGATATTGATAAAATGTTACCGCCAACGGTGAGCTCTGTCTTCTGTCTATGTAAATCTGTGTTCCTAATTCTTAAAGGAAGCCCATACATAAGTTTCATTTGGGTTCCAATTACTGTGTTTCTTACTAGATATGTTGATATGATTGCTAATCCTGTAGTGGCTGATGTGTTCCGGAGAAGGGCAAAAGTAGGTTATCAAACTCTCATTCGAGCATCTTTGTGCATGATCCCTAAAAAGAATTCCTTAGCTCACAGTGTATCAATTATAAAATTGTTGGAGATATTATTGTTTTCTCTTCTTCTTTTTTGTTGTTGTAGATTGTTTCCCTAGATACGCAAGACAGTTGAGTCTTTTGGATATTTGGAGGTTGAAACTCCACTTCTTCAGGTTTGTGCCCCCTTCATTCTCAAATACGCCCCTTTATATCGAACTCTTGGATGGGAGTCGGTTTTATGAACTTGTGAAAACCAGGGAGCAGTTGGTAGAGCCGAAGCGAGGCCTTTTTCGTTTCGTATCATAACTCACTTGGGAGGGATCTCTACCTGAGGATTGCAACTGAGCTTCACTTGAATATAATGCTGGTCAGACACAGCTTCTATTATTGTAATCTCATGGCGTTCCTCTCATTCTTCTTTATCTTGCTTTTTATCGACTCACCACTTTTGGCTGGAGATTTACCTCTACCTGAGATATATATGAAAGGTAAATGTCTTCCCTGACTATATTTCATTTTGTGTTCAAAGGTTGGGAGGGTCTTAGGAAGTGTATGAATTTTGTCGTATATTCAGAAACAAAGGCATTTCAACACATCACAATCCTGAATTCACGACCATAGTGGTACTTCAAGATATACCTTCTCCTCAATCTTCTGCATCTCCTGTCCTGGCTTTCACAATCTTGAATGGTTCCATAGCAGTTTTAGCTTTGTTTAGATGTATGAGGCTTATTCCGACTACCCAAGCATGATGGACATGGCAGAATTAATCGTTACTCAATGTGGAATGGCAGTTCATGGGAAGCTAACAATTGATTACCAGGTGACTATGCTCTGGCATCACAGCTAGTGTGTGGAGATAACCTCATCTGAATTCTATGTTGGTTGTGAATCTTTGAGAAATTGAGTTGTGATTACTCTGTTGTGCAGGGAACAGAGATCTGCCTTGAGTGGTCTTGGAGGAGAGAAACCATGCATAATCTCGTTAAAGAGATAACACTCGTAATTGTAGCTATCCTGTTACCCTGAATCAGGCTGCCAGAAAAGCAGGCTGGCTTCCAGAAAATGATGAAACTTAACCTAGAGGTAGCCATGTTAAGTTTGGTGTAGTCCTTGGAGAAGATCACAAACAGTTTAGAAGTCGGAGTACAGATGTATCCGCCTTAACTGCTTTGCTAGATGAGGCCAAGACTCGCAGTAAAGCTCTCTTATTTAGCGTGGTATGTGACTGTGTCAGAAACTTGTACGTTTTGGATTGTTGAATCATTCATTCACTTGTTCGTATTCATCCCTTTTATGTCTTCTCTCTGCTTTAGGTAAGGACAAAGAATGGACACCCAAGGAGCTGGTGGACCAAACAGCTGAGGCAGTTGGATTTGGTGCGGTGAAGTGAGTATCATCTCTATTCTGTTGTTGTATATGGTGCGGTGAAGTAAGTATCATATGGTGCGGTGAAATAAGAATCAGATTTACTATCTTCAGTGACTTTTGTAACCAACGCTGCACAAATGATATTTTCATGCGACAGCTAACTTGCGGTTTTGTTTAATTGACATTGACAATGTAATGGAATTTGCCAGCTAGTTTACATATTTTCATTATGCAGTAATTGACAATGCATCATCTCTACACATGACCAAATTAATTCTTTACATTTGAGTCTTGGAAATTTCTTTGTTCATGGCAGTTAACTAAAAGGAGACGGATTGAGATAACATAATCACAAAGAAAATTACGACCATATATATGAAAAGTTTGCTACTTAACAAGGGTCAAGGGGACATAAAATGGCGGAAACAAAAAAAAAAGGGGGGACATAAAATAAATTGAAAACAGGAGAGATGCAAGAAACAATTAGTAATGTATTGCAAATAAGACCAAATAAATAAAGGAACTAAACTAACTAGTAATCTCTATCAAATTTTTTCCTTTTTTTTGTTTTTCTTTTGGTTTTATAACCTCTATCTTTTGTTTTGCCCGGTTGGTTGATTTGCAGTGGCACTAAACTTGGAACATAAGAAGAGCACACAAGTGGGAGACGATAATTCACCTTAAAAAATCCAAACTTGTCAACTTCGACGATATTAAGAACTTTTCCGATATTCACAGATTTGAAGTACCTCTGTCCAACAAGGTGAGCTGAGGCCATGACCGGTTTAATTTGGTCTAGATCGAAAACCACAGCAACATTATTCTCCTCGTCAATGAAGAAACTCCCACCTTCAGTGTCAACCGGATAACCAGCCCACTTTCTCAAAAACTTGTTCCACGACACTGCATTGGGATCAATCTTATTCGTAACCCAAATATCCATTATCAGACAAATATCCTTGTATTGATGTAACACGGCGAGCTGCTCATCTCTAACACAAGATAAAGCAACATTGTCTTTTGCATCATCAGAGCAAAATGGAAGATGCAGACTCGGTCCAAATCTCTCTGTTGTGAAATCAAAACAGAGTAAGATATCTTCAATCTTCCATCCACCAACTGTTGTTTTCTTTTTAGCAGCAAAATAAGTATTTCCTTTCAAAGACACACCACGTTGATGAGACCATATAAACCACTCGGGTTTATGATCAACAAACCTCCATGAATTAGAGCTAAAATCATAGATTTCGTACCCAAAAACTGTTTGCTGCTCACCAAAAACCCTCAAGATTTTGTGGTTACGGTTCTTGTCATATCCGAGAGCATACCTGTCTAACACGTCGAAATTTTGTCTGGGTTGGATCCACCTGGTTTGACCCAAATAAGGATTCCATACCAAGAGCCTCGAGCTGTCATTGAGGACGCATAACAGTAAACCGTCACAGTGAAAAACTCTAGTTATCTCTACTTGATCAAGTATACTTATCTTCTTTATAGATGGATCAACAAAGTCACTGTGGTTGCGGATTCCTTGGAGATCGAATTTCAAGGAACAAACCCTTAAATCCTTCATCATGAACCCTAGAAACTGCTTCCTTGCTGGTGCAGCTTTTTCGCCAATAATCTGATTTTTCGATAAAGCTTCCCAAGTTTTGCAAGTTGATCGTGTTGCTCTCAGAGATGTCAGTGGAACTCTAGAGAGAATCTCCCCTACCACATCCCATGGAAGATCTGATATTGTCGTCATTCTTCAACAAACGAGTCAATTAGAGAGACGGCGCGAGCGAGAGGCAAATCTCCTTTTATATGTCAAAAGAAAAAAAAAAAAAAAAAAAAAAAGGGATTTGTGCAAAATATTCAGCCAATCAAAAGCCTCAAAGACTTTACACCTCTAATTACAAACGACGCCGTTTCTTCAAGAGATCACTTTCGGTCGGGGCAAAAACGTAGCAAAGCAGCGATCCTCCGAGATTCAGGAATTGGTAATGGCGGCTATGTCAGCGGTTCTGTCTCTGGGTTTAGGAACACTCCGCCCTTCGCATCGTTCCTTGTCCTGTTTCGATTCTCTCCGGCACCAGACATCTTTTCTCCGTTGCCACCAAAGTCTCATCTCTAGAAATACGAAGTCTCCGCTCAACAAGATTCTTCAGGCTTGCCTTCAATCCAGTGGGTATCTATTCTTCTTCGCCTCAATTTCTTCAAATTGCAACAACCTCTGAGTCTTTTTTGATGTGATTTATTTCCTGGGTTTGCACTAGATTTTACTTTATAGATCATAATCAGGCTTTAGAGGAATTTAGAGATATCTTTGTAGCATTCAATCTTGTAATAGATTGTGTGTTTTAACACTTACTGGTAGTTAATTATAAATGATGTGTGCAAATGTTTGACTATGTCTGTTGTGTGTTTATTAGACTATGCAAATGCTGATGCTTTGGTGTCATCATCCGATAAAAGTTCTGAGATTGTATTTATGGGTACTGGAACCAGTGAAGGGATTCCTCGTGTTAGCTGCCTCACTAATCCTTTGAAAACATGTTCGGTATTTTTTCGCCTTTTTAATTTTGTTCTTTTCTTATGATTCATCTACTGTTTCTATGCAATCATCCCATTGAAAAACATTCCATTTTGATTCTTTAAGGTATGCACAAAAGCAACAGAACCAGGAAACAAAAATAGGAGGCTTAACACCAGCATTCTTGTTCGGTACATTAGACCATCAGGAACAAGTAACATCCTAATTGATTGTGGCAAGTGAGTGCAGTGAGATGAGTAGTGTGGATGTGATTCTATTTAGCACTTTTTTCTTTTGGTCTGATTGATCATGTAGCATCTTACAGTCATGTTGGTTATTGTATGCTGACTTTTTAACCCCGTTGTTTTGGCAGGTTCTTCTACCATAGTGCCCTTCGATGGTTTCCCACCTTCGGGTTAGTTTTCTTTCCATCGACCATTAAGGATTTTAGTTGTCAAAAATTGATTGTCATAAGAGTTTTTGGACCACCCTATTAGATTCCGATGCTTCTTACATGACTTGTTATTATTTGTTATACTGTGAACAAATATGTTCAGTTGAACTCTTTGTTTATCACTGGTTGCTTCTAATAATTCTGTCACACTGTGATTGTGTAATCGTTGATTCTATGGCAATCTCCATAATACCTAATTGCGTTTTTCTTGTCAGGCTAAGAACACTTGATGCAGTTGTAATTACTCATTCTCATGCTGACGCAATTGGAGGTCTCTGAAACTGACAAGTTAAATCTTGCCCATCCATCAATTTCTTTTCATGTTTCTTTGTCCTGTAATGTCATGTGTTGTCTCCTTAATTGAAGTCTTCTTCTCCATTGATTTGTCTTTTGCTCTCCAGGTCTTGATGATCTCCGTGATTGGACAAACAATGTTCAACCTCACATTCCAATTTACACTGCTATGCGTGATCTCGAGGTCTGTTTTCCCAACACTCCTAAATATTTCCCTCTTCTCTCTCAATACTATTTCAGCAGCTAAAGGCTCTCTCCACCATGACATGTGAATCTCAGGTGATGAAGAAGACCCATTATTACTTGGTTGATACGAGTGTCATCATACCCGGAGCTGCAGTCTCAGAGTTGGAGTTTAAAATCATACACGAGGACCAACCATTTGTGGTAAACGATCTAAAGGTAACACCTGTATTCCTGGCTTTTAATCATCATCAACACTACTCATCCTCTTGGCGTTGTCTTATGCATGAATTGGATGTTTTAACTGTTTCAGATCACCCCATTACCTGTATGGCATGGAAGTAACTACCGTTCCCTTGGTTTCCGATTTGGTAACGTCTGCTACATAAGGTAAACAAACACACACACACTTCCCTCTTCAATTTTTCTGTGCCGAGTATGTTCATGAATATCGGAGTCTTTAGTTATCATATTGTAAAATATGCAGCGATGTCAGTGACATACCGGAAGAAACCTACCCACTCCTTAAAGACTGTGATCTCCTAATTATGGTAATCTCAACTCTCTCACCCGTCACGTCTATTGTTCTTTCTTCAACAAAGATAGCTTCTTACCAAAGAAACATCTTTTTCTTTCTCTAGGATGCTTTGAGGCCTGACCGGTCTTCAGCAACACACTTTGGCCTCCCAAGAGTATGAAGCGTGCTTCCATTATCCTTCTTACATTTGATTCTTTCTCTTATAACCAAGCAAAATGTCATATTTTTTTCTTTTCACACAATTTATTCCCAATCATCAAATTCACGTTCACTCCTACAGGCGTTAGAGGAAGTTCGGAAAATCAAACCAAAAAGAACTCTTTTCACCGGTACAATCTGCTAAAAATTCATATTGAATATTTTAACGAAGGTTGTGATAAAACGAAAAGCTGTTTATCATTTTTTTTTTTTTTGTCTCTGAAGGAATGATGCACTTGATGGACCACGAGAAGGTGAGCGAAGAACTAGAGAAAATTAGGGACACAGAAGGCCTCGATGTCCAATTGAGTTACGATGGTCTTCGTGTTCCAATCTCAATTTAACTCGGTTTATTCGTATTTTTGCCGGTATAACGGTTCATACTCATATACCTTAAATAAATATCGATTTCTTTTTGTATTGTCACTCCTCACAAAGTAACCCAACAAATTTTCAATGTAAGTGATTTGGTTTTCGCAAACCGGTTTAAATAAATGGCTGAGGTCGGTCTGGTTCGATTGGGGACCACAGAAACGGTGACGTTTTTAATAGCGACAGTGGCAAGAGGAAGACCAGAAACGGAAAACACGGGAACGGATATGTTCATAAGGGCGTCTGCCAAGTCGGCGACCAGATTGCATGGCTCTGGTCTGGTTACAATCCAATTATCTCATGGCACGTGTCTCTGTCGGTCCGGTACGGTCCCCTCGACCGTTCGCTTTCACGCGTGTCTATTACCGAAGTTGACATTAGGGTAGAGGATTCCCTCAAAATTACATTATCCCTTCTTATAAACAAATAAATCATTGAGTTTTATGTCTTACTAGATTTGAACCCGCGGTACACCGCGGGGCTATAATTTTTTTTTAAAAAATCTAAATATAATTAGTTTTGTTTATTAATAGAGAATATAATATAATATTTCGACCTATTTTATAAATGTACCATCCATATATCTATATTAATAATTTTGAGTATATTAATTGTGTTTTAGGTTTAAATGGTATATCTATATATACACTTAAACGACATTTGACTTTCTTTTTCTTCTTGCCTCAGTTTAGGAGAAAGATTTTTCTTGCGGTACACCGCGGAACTATTATTTTTTAAAAAAAAATTTCTCCTTAAACTTCCAAATCTAGATTTTACCCCGCGGGTCAATTTTTTTATAACTAAAAAATTATTTTGCAAAATTTTAAGTTGTATTTGTTTTGTTAATATTGTTTATTTTGTTTAGTGTTTCTGATTTTATAATTAAATTTTGATTTTTAATTCTAGGATTTCATCCATAGTATATTGTTTAATATTAATATTGATCTAAACCCGTTGCACCATATAACCCCGTCCCGTAAAATTAAACATCATTTGTTATTTTTTTTGAATAATATTTTTATCCACTACGGGTTGCAGGTTCATGCGGATAAGCCCGTAGAGAGTTGCGGGTTTGCGGATCGATCCGCCAAAAGAGAAGCAATCTTTTGAAACCCTTTGTTTTGTTTAGAGGTTTTAAGAAAAAATCCCTAAAAAATAATTTTCATTATATGAAAAAAAAGTAGAAGAAATTGTAGTATCAACATTCCCGATTTTTACATCACTCGTTACAATTAATTTTTTTTTTGCAGATAAAAATCAGAAGTTAACTAAGTCGAGATTTTTAAAAAGATTGTGTAGAGATTTTTGGTAAATTGTTGAGAACATATTTGATTTCAGAATCTTTACTTAAATAGATAAGGAAAGATTTTGTAGAGACTTTTGCTAAATATATGAGAAATGAATTTCAATTAAAAATCTTTACTTAAATAAAACAAATCAAATCTTTGTCCAAAAAATAAAAATAAAACAAATCTAAATAATTAATGTTAGTGGCATGTCATTGTAAATACTTCTCAACTTCAGGATTTATTTGCTAATTGTGATCCAAAAATGTATATATAGATTTTGAAAGTTCAAAATTTGTAAACATATACGTAACTATTTAACGTCTTATGAAACTAGTTAGAAATAATAATTGAGGCTGTGCATGTTACTAATGTAAGTAAGTGGTAGAAAACGACGTCGGCGAGAAAAAAAAACTATAGGAAAAGTTAGGTGAGACTGTTAATGAAATTAAATTAAAATTTATGGGGTTAATCATTTAGTATTGTATTAAATTTAATTGTTGAATAGAACTAGATGGGGTCCATGTGTTAGCTCAATCATTTTCATAAACAATGTGGCCCTACTAATATCCTGGGTTATGCTCCGCTCGTGAACTCGCTGTGACTTATTGACTCAACTACACTGTTACTCACGAACCTTTCAGACTTTAAATTATGAAAAAAAAACCGATTAAATTTGTCCAAGACCTTCATTTCGTAAACAAACAATTGTTCTTAGTTTAGTTGAATCAGATATATATGTTCTATATCATAATCCAGTCATTAGAATTTAGAATCATTCAAACTTGTTAACACATTCTAGATTTCTTAATGATCTAGAAAATGTTATTTATGTGGTGTCAGAATATGATATTGGTTACTCCATGCATAGCTGACATGGAGACAGAGACGTGTATAATCTTTTTATAGACCCATAATTTCAGGACAGTTGAATAAAATACTATTTACATTGCCTTCCCAATCTCAGCTCCCTAGTTTCATCTAAACGCATATTTTATTTTATGTCAGCCTTACTGTTTTGCATCTAGCTTACTGAAAATGGACGATGAGTTAATTTTCTCTCTGTTCTATATATATAACGAGAAACTCATTTTTCAACATCATTTGGAGAATTCTCCGTATGTGTGATTCTGAAGATTAAACCATATGACCTCTAGATAGTGTGATCTACGAGGCCATTAGTTTTTAGTTTGTTACTATCACCTAATTAGGTTATATTCAAATTTCAAGTAAACATTACTACTTTTGATAACACATTTAATTAGATTAATGGGTTTCTTATAAAGTTAGTTTTAATGTGTGGGGTGAGCTGGTGTTTCATATTGGGAAGAGGATCGGACAAATCACATTAAGAAAAAGCTAAAATAATTGTGGAATAAAACAAGAACAAGACAAAAAGACGAAACATTTTATATTCTTCTATTTTTCTTATAAGAAAAATATCTTTTCGACAATCCAATTAACTGTTGATGAAACATCCTGTTTATGATTCAGATTACCTTTTAAATGTAAGAATTACTCTAAAGTACTTTTGTTTAGGAAAATAATATAACTTAGGTACTAAATGGTCTTGGCAGTTTGTATTTAAAATGCAAACGCAATTAAAATATATGACGGCGGGAAACTTGTAGTAGTACTTTAATAAGAAAAGAAGAAAAAAACGAACGAGAGTATTATTTTCATAGATACTACTAGTATTTATTTTTACTAGTTTATACTAATGTAATAGTTTGGATGCGGGGATGTATATTTAGTCAAGTGGTTAAGTACACTTGACTCCGTTTTTCTCACCGGAATTCGACTTCACTAAGTCGCGTTACCCCGCATAATAGCGATTGACTATAGATCAGGCTTTATCGATCTAAAGATGTAAAAAAAAAAAAAAAGTCTGAGTGCATGGGAGTCACCAAATTAATGAATTTGTCTATTTATATAGTCTATTTTTTGCTTTTCACGTTATGTGTTTAAGTAAAACAACTATTTCATCTCCCAAAATATGAAAAACTTTACCTTTGTATCGTTTTTGTTTTGTTTCCTCGTTTAGCCCTCTATAGTTATGTTTTGCATATATTTTGCATCTCTCCTGCTACCTCTGTATACAATAATTAAAATGGATATACGAAAAACACATATGTTTATAACAACTAAATTTTCAAAATCTGTAAATTTACTTGATAGTTGATCACAAAGCTGGAAGTGCAATATTTTAAGGTAAGTCAATTAGATTTTTAGGTAAAGAAGCACAGAGTGTGCTGACAAACAAGTCAACTATATATATGTTTATAGACAATATTATGTTTGGCAAAAAAAAGACAATATTATGTTTTTGGTCTTCATCATTCATTATCTTCTCATGTCACATATCAAATAATAATAATAAAAACAATAATAATTAATTAAATTATTATTTGGTATATTGCATGGATTTTATTGGCTCCGCGGCCCTTTAGGCTTTAGAACGTCGAAATTTTTCCACTTCGCTATCATTCGTTTTCGGAAGTAATTTTCTTTCAACTTTTGTATCATACAAACATCTTTTGGTCATTATCCACAATCCATCTACCATTATGTGTATAATCGTCTAGTATTTTGTATCTTTGGGTCATAAAGTAGGTTAGGGCATGCGGACACATGATTAATCAATCCATTTAAAATCTTTTCATCAATCCATTTGATGCAAACTCTCTCATTTTTTATTTTAACATGAAAAGCATCAAATCGAAAACAAAAAAAAAAGATACAAGAGAAAGGTTACCTTTTTAGTGCAAAACATCAAATATAATCAATGACTCAATCATAGCTTAGTTCTGTAAATGACAGTGTAAAGCTGTAAAAATAATAATATCAACTAAAAATTTAGTTAATTTTAAATGAATAATCATATGTATAGTTCACTAAGTTTGGTCGGCAATTATTATAGTGGACCATAAATAAGTATTTATGTCACAATTTTTTTTTTGTGTCACATAAAGTGGTAATTCGAAGAGTAAGAAAAATTCTAGTGATATACATAGAAAGCAAATAATGGACTTAATTTATTTAAATATGTATACTGCGTGTCTGCGTCTCGACTCTCGAGAAATGTAAGAAAAATAAAAACTATATAGTTAACATTGAAAGACCTCTTTATGCAAGCTTTCCACAGAGCTTGTGAGAAAGTTATATTTATCTTTTAGCCACCGTTCTTTACGAAAACTAAAATTTTAAGGATTTTTTTTTCTTTAATACCGAAAACAAGTTTGCAGGTAATGATAAAGAAAGGACAGATTGCTAAGAAGAAAAAAAAAAGTTTTTTAAAAAATGCCAATTTTTCTTAGCGGTAGGGTTCCTTTTTTTTTTTTTTTTCTATTTAATTTTTTTTTGAATTTTTCGGTTTCAAATACACAGAGAGGAAGATAATAGAGTTTCTCTTGTCCACAATCTCTCTCTTTCTCCCTCTCCCTCTCTGTCTCTCTCTCTACTTCTAGGTATATTGGATTATCTTCCATCTTCTGTTTTCTTTTATTAATTTAATTTCTCAACTTCGTGTTCATGTTGTGTGTAATAATTTGTTGCTACTTTTTATGTTGTTTTCTTTAAGATTATTTCGTGTTGATTACAAACATGAACCAGAAAAGTGGATAGATATTGTCTCTTGGGTTGAAGCCAAAGAAGGAAGTTATTATATATACATATTTACACACACAGAAAAAATCAAAGAAGGAAGTTAGAATTATATATATATAGCTAGAGAGGCTCATTTCTTGTATGTTTCTGTTGAATCATCTCTTTTGTCTCCTTTTTTTAACAGTATATGTCTGTATGTATCTCTATATACATGGATCTGAAAATAGTTTGTCGATTTCTAACTGATTTTGCCTCTTCTTATTTTTTTTTTCTTTAAGGTTTTTTTTTTTTTGTTGATGATGAACAAAGACATGTTACTTCATCAGCATCACCAACCACAACAAGTACAACATCAACAAGACGAGAATATGTCGAATCTAACATCAGCTTCTGGGGATCAAGCAAGTGTCTCTTCAGGAAACATAACCGAAGCAAGTGGTTCTAATTATTTCCCTCATCATCAGCAACTTCAAGAACAGCAACAGCAGTTCTTTGTTCCAGATTCGCAGCCTCAAAAGAAGAGGAGAAACCAACCAGGGAATCCAGGTTCGTGTGAAAAAGAAAAGAAAAAATAATACAATTTTTTCATGGTTTTGGACTGATTCATTATTCCAATTATTTGATACAGTCATCATCTTGGAAATTATGGGTCTTCTCCTAAAAATAATATTCTTTTTACCCTTTTTGTTCTCTTTATCATCTCTATTCTAAACAAAGAAAAATAAAACCAAAACTCAGATTAAAATGAAAAAACCACAACTTTTTTAGTAAATTTTTGGCCGTGGTTGATATAGTTTTGTTTATTATAATTACTATTAACAAACACCAAGATGACAATTTAAAAACAAAACTGTAACTTTAGTAGTTTTTCTTGAGTTTACTGACAAAGGTTCAATATTATTTTTTTCAGACCCAGACTCAGAAGTGATAGCTTTATCACCAAAAACACTAATGGCAACAAACAGATTCGTGTGTGAGATCTGCAACAAAGGTTTCCAAAGAGACCAGAATCTACAGCTTCATAGAAGAGGTCACAATCTGCCATGGAAGCTGAAACAAAGATCCAACAAAGAAGTGATAAGGAAGAAAGTGTATGTATGTCCAGAAGCAAGTTGTGTCCACCATGATCCATCTAGAGCTCTCGGTGACTTAACCGGAATCAAGAAGCACTTCTGCAGAAAACATGGAGAGAAGAAGTGGAAATGTGATAAGTGTTCAAAGAAATATGCTGTTCATTCAGATTGCAAGGCTCATTCTAAGACTTGTGGCACCAAAGAATACAGATGTGACTGTGGCACTCTCTTTTCTAGGTAACCCTCATCTCCAAAATTAAACTCTTTTTTTTTTGTCATTTATTTCTGTTTATTAATTGATTTTAAGAATATAGTAATTACATTAATCGATATTGATGATGAATATGAGATATATGTTCTGGTGTTGTAAGAATTGGAGGGACACATGGTACAAACTTTTATTTGTTGTGTTATGAGTAATTTCATTTAATTTGAAAGAGGACAAATATGGTAGCTCAAAAGAATCTTCATTTATAATATGGAACTAGTTCAGGGTACTTTCTTCATTTCTTTTTATTTCTCATAAAAAAGTTGTTATGGGTTATTTTTTGCCTTGCATTAATCATTCATCTTATAATACACATGTGATTGCTACATGCTTTAGATGATGGACCACATGACTTTTATAGCTTCTCTTAGTGTGTAAAAAGAGACTTTTATTCTCATTGATTAACATGTTATTGATCATTTCATGGATTTTTATTTTATTTTTTTCTGTGTGGTAAATGAACAGGAGGGATAGTTTCATAACTCATAGAGCATTTTGTGAAGCATTGGCTGAAGAGACTGCAAGAGAAGTAGTAATACCACAAAACCAAAATAATCAACCAAACCCTCTTTTGATTCATCAATCTTCTTCTCATCCTCATCCTCATCATCATCAAACACAACCAAACATAAACGTCTCTTCTTCTTCATCCTCCTCCCACAACCACAACATCATCAATAGCCTTCACTTCGACACCAACAATGGTACTAATAATAGCAACAGCAGCAACAACCATCTCCATACATTTCCCATGAAGAAAGAGCAACAAAGTAATGACCATATCATGAATTACCACCATAGTATCCCTCCTTGGCTTGCTCCTCAGCCACACGATCTCACATCTTCAAACCCTAACCCTAGTAATGGTGGAGGAGGAGGAAGTTTGTTCTCTCTGGCTTCTCCGGCTATGTCAGCCACCGCATTGCTCCAGAAAGCAGCCCAAATGGGTTCTACAAAGACACCTCCTTTACCACCAACCACGGACTACGAAAGGTCAACTCGTAATAACAACCTCACGACCACAATGGCGGCGATGATGACGTCACCATCTGGATTCATCAGCTCCAACAACAACAATCAAGTTTTGTTTCAAGACTACAACGCATCCGGGTTTGATCATCACGGCGGAGAAGAAGCATTCGACGATACATTCGGCGGGTTCTTGAGAACAAGCGAAGCTACAACCGCCGCAGGATCAGAGAAGAGTAAAAGCGGTGGAGGAGAAGGTTTGACGAGAGATTTCTTGGGGCTAAGACCGTTAATGTCTCATAACGAGATTCTAAGTTTTGCTGGTCTTGGAAATTGCATTAATAGCTCTGCTTCAGATCAGCTTCATCCCAAGCCTTGGCAGGGTTAGTTAGTTTTTTTGCTCATAATATTTTTAAAATGAATCTATCTAAATTTTTAATATGTGTATATATTTATATATGTAGTTTTGCATATCTATAATCTTTCTCTTGTTTTGTTCTTCGTTTTATAAATTTTATATGTTGAATGCTCACCAAAGGAGAATCAAAAATTATACAGAAATTGTTACGTTTCGTCTTTTTCATATTGCCTTTTTTTTTTTTTTTGGGTTATAAGTTTATAACTTAAAAGGAGAAAAAAAAAAACAAAAGCAAGCTCATGATTTGTGGTCAACTGATCATGATAATTGGTCAACTCAAAATTAATATTCTTGGTTATATGATATCACGGGAAAGATTGGCACTAGCTAGGTAGGTCAGGAGGCATTTCAATCGATTATCATAAATCGTATCTACTTTCGTTTTCCTACATACATAAACTGCGCAGCTCCATATAACAAATTAACAATACTTATCATTTATTAATTATTACATAGATGTGTATGAGTGTATCAATATGTTGATTTAAAACTACATCAACTATATATATACCATTAATCTTATCTTTTTAGAATATCCAATTATTGACTTATTGTCATTAGTTCGTAATTTTATTAATTAGGTTCTTTCTTTTTTTGGGATGAAATAAGAGTATCTGAGACTTTAGTTTTTAATCCAAGTCAAACACTTTTCTTTTCTTTCTAAACTAAAAAAAGCCAAGATTTTTAGACTCAAAGTCCTTCGTTTGTATTTTACTTATGATCATTTACAAATGAATGATTAGGTAATCGAAACGTAAAAGAAAAAGAAAAAACAAACGAAAAATGGAAAGAGAAGAAATAATGTAATATAAGAAAATGACTATGAAATGTGGCATATGAAAAGCAGAGGAGGAAATGCATTGGATTCGATCTAAGGGTGACTCATCGTTTGCTTATAAACCTATTTCGAAAATTGTTTTTTCTTATTGGATCTCATCTCATGCAGGCACACAAGTGGGATCCAAAAGATAGGGACTCATCACGTTTTGCTTGGTGGCATGTATATAAATAATATTTATACAAATCTATTTATCAGACATGGACACAACTTTATAATTTGCTAATGTTGATTACACAAGTTTGCAGCTCTAAATCAATTGATAATTGAAAACTTTAAACTATTATGATATAGAATCTTTCCCGGGATCATCTAAAATTCATTTTCAACAAAATGATTAGTTTTTTTTTAATGCTCCAGTTGATCATATATAAAGTTTCTATATCTGGCTACATGGTTTATTCTATTATTTGTATGGTTTTTTTTTTTTTTTTTTTTTTTTTTTTTTTTTTCGTGGTAGTCGATCGCTAAAGAATTGTAATTTTCACATGCAATAAAGTGTGGAAAATGATTGAAATAAATGAAGATGTCTTCTTGTTTTTCGACCAGGCGGATGTGACATCAATTTTCTGGTTTTCTATGGGTGTAAATGGTAACCGAAGAATCTGGTTGAATCTGGCTGAATTGCTGAATCTAGCTGAATATATTTGTGTTTTTCTGCGGAATCTGGCTGAATAATTTAAACTTTAAATGGTAACCGCTGAATCTGGCTGAATTCCTTTTTTTAATAACTAATCAAATAAATATTTAAAAATAATTAGAAAATTCTGAATTTACTTTTGCAGACTCTTCTCTGCCTAATTGGACAACCCATCAAGGAGGTATTTATTAATTAATTTGTGAATGACAAAAAAAAAGTAATTAGAAAATTGTTTCACCGAAACCAAACTGAAACCGACGAAATAATCGAATAGATCTTAAACTTCATTACCGAAAAAACCGGAACCAAAATATTTTGGATACTTAAATGAAACCAAAGAACAATTATATATCCAAAATATTAGTTACTTTTATACCGAATAATAAAAAAAATTCCAAATAATAAAACCTGAACCGGAATCAAATGGACACGAACCATAATAACCAAAAAAAAACTCAAAAATATTTGTAAAGTTTTTGGTTCCTAATCCGTTCTTGATTCAAAAAACCGAAATACCTGAAATTGAACCGAGCCTGAACCAAAATTTTAAAATAACCGTATGGATACTAAACTCGATAAATAAATTACCCGAAACCAAAAATTATAGAACCGACACCGAGCTAAAGACCCAAACATCCAAAAATTATAGAACCGACACCGAGCTAAAGACCCAAACATCCAAGATTATTCGCTATTATCCACAGTGAAATCATAATATCAAAAAATATTAAAATTATTAACTTCAAAATACATTATTCAAAAATACATATCACATAACAAAATTCACAAATGAAATGCATCTGTTGAAAGTTTGATTAATTTAATAAATAAAAGAATAAAGTAGGACCATTATGACAGAACATAAAAAATTCTACAATAAGTCTATAGATACAAATGATGTAACATTTATATATTCCACAGGAATTCCTCAACGATTCCACATAAAAGATGTTACCATTTACAGTCTATAGCTAAAGAAATATTTATGCATTTGTCATATACTGTAGTATATAAATAATTATTATAACTTGATTTTTTTTTTTTTGAACACTATTACAACTTGATTAAAATGGAAGAATTACAAGTTTACAACAATAATGAAAAGACCATAAAATGTTCATTGGGACACATGATAAAAAAAAAGGGAAAAAAAAGATGGGTTATACTCTAAAAAGAGAGAGGAATCTAACGAGTTCAACTTAGAGTTTATAATTAGCGTATTATCACAAATGGTTGGTTTTGTTATAACTTTTACAAAAGCTTAATTTCTACTTCAGAAACTTGCAAAAAAAAAAAAAAAAAGAGGAAAGAAGAAATTGAATTGTAAGAGAATAAACGAGTATCTTGATTCTTGAGAGGTGTAATGTCAATTCATATAACCACGTCTGCAAAAAACGGAATAATGACATCTTTTACATTCATTTTTAGGAATTTTAGCAGAATAATCATATACCATCATTTTTACGTCTAAAAATTTACGGATGTAAAAGGTGTCAACGACAGAGGACCCATGAATTTGTCAATATCATGATGATTTTGGCATTTGTAAGGTTTGCTTTTTGTCTGATTTTAATGAAGTGATCCCACAATCACTATTGAGTATTTTTTACTTTTTTTTTTTTTTTTTTTTTTCTTGCATCTCAAAGACAATGACTTTTACAAAACCTTTTTTTTGTTTGTTCAAATACAAAAACCTTATGCTATACAATAATGCTTGTAAAAGTTCTAAAACTTTGTAACCATCCAATGTTACACATACGAAAAACTGGAACTTTATTACATTCTACGATATTACATTGCAAAGGAACAAGCGACTGCACTGAATTAATAATTTAATATCTATTGCTTAGTTGACTCCATTTTCTACAAAATTAACGCCATAGTCTGCATGTACGTGAGCTTATGGGGAGACAACAATTTACGCATTAAAAAAAAACTGTTAAATGCTATCATTTTATGAATTCCCTAGCCTACAAGTTTAGCAGTGGGAAAGATTATCATTTTTGGTTCGAAAAATACACTACTTAATTATGGCCAATTAATATCACATATTGGTCAGCAAAGACCTCACGCCAATTGGGACTTGATGATCAAGATGGCTAGATTTTCAGAGGTATTCGAACCCACGTACGTGCTGCAGAGATCCTTCTATCAGATTATGGCATTTCGTTCAAAATGGGTTGTCTATCAATGGGTTGACCTAGTTTGTCCAAAGTTGGTTAGTCCTTCCAATGGGTTCGACATGGCCATTGAATTAGACCAAAAAATATAAGCCAGTTTTGGTCATTTTAACGGCCCACTTTTGTAAACATGGAAAGTCTGATTTACAAGAATTTGTTACAATAAATTAGGATACTCTAAAATACAATCTAAGATACGGAATCCTATCCTATCAATCATTTCCTTTAATTTTTCTTTAGTATTTAATATGAAATTTGAAAAGGTTTCTTTGAGATTTGATTTGAGAATATTCTTAAATAGTAACCAACATTATTTGCCTATTTAAAATCTTAAAACCCTATTGCGGCTTTTCACATTACACCTAAAAGAAAAAGAAAAACTCCATTGCAGTTTTGGTTTTTGAAATTTAGAAGAATGCCGACGATGCCTAATCTTCCGCTAGAGGTTTTGGAAGAGAAGATTCTCTCTAGGGCTCCGGTTACATTTCTGAGGGCAATGCGATCTACTTGCAAAAAGTGGAACAATTTCTCAAAAGAGAAGATTATTCCCGAAGCTGCAAGGAAGCAGCAAGGTTTAATGTTGATCAAAAACAACATCTGTTCCTTGAGTTTCAGTTTCCAAGGAATCCACAAGGATGACTTTGTCGTTCCGTCGATAAATCAGGTAAATATTCCTGACCACATCAAGGTAGATAAAATCTTTCACTGTGACGGCATATTATTATGTGTTATAGAGAAAAACTCTAGCCTTGTAGTATGGAATCCCTATTTAGGGCAAACGAGGAGAATCAAAGTCAGTAATGATCCCGACAGGAATGAAAAGTATAGGAAATGTGATATGTATGCTCTTGGTTACGACAACAACAACCGTAACCACAAAATCTTGAGGATTATGAAAGATTTTAGGCACAGTGACGGTTTAGGATACGAAATCTACAGATTCGCATCAAATTCATGGAGTTTGCTTGATGAGGAAGTGATGAAACCCGACTGGAATGTATGGTCTGCTCAACGAAGCTCCGTGTCTTTGAAGGGAAATACTTATTTCTTTCTTCAAGGGAATGATTATGGGAATGAAGAGGACGAAGATGCCGAAGAGTACGAAGATGACGACATAGTGCCGAAAGATAATTTTTTGCTCTGTTTCGATTATACAACAGAGAGCTTTGGTCCGCGTCTACTTCTACCGTTTAACCCTCATGTTGAAGAGACCGTGGCTTTATCATGTGTTGGAAAAGAGCGGCTCGCTATGCTATATCAAAGCTCCAAGACATCTGAGTCGATAGAGATATGGGTAACAGATAAGATTGATCCAAAAGCGGTGTCGTGGAGCAAGTTTCTGAAAGTGGATATCACACCACTCACTGGTTTTCCGGTTGACATTTACGCTGATAGTTTCTTCATTGACGAGGAGAAGAAAGTTGCTGCGGTTGTCGATGTACATTATTGCTACCAAAAAGCTCACATCATTGGAGAAGATGGATACCTGAAATGTGTGAATATGGGAAGAGCTCCGGATGTTGGAAATGGTCAGCCACTTGTGTTCTCTTCTTATGTTCCAAGTTTGGTGAAAGTGCCTATCAAGCAACCAAAGGGTAAAAGAAAAGGTAGAGATCTAATAAAACCAAAAGCAAAACGAACAAAAAAGGAAGAAAGATAAAGATTATTGGTTAATTCCATTTGCAATGCTTTATTTTGTTTCTTGCATTCTCTTCTGTTTCCTTCATTTGATTTCATGTCATTTTATGAACAAGAATATTTTCATTCGGTTATTAATTTGTTTCTGCTATTTACTATCTAATAAAGAATTCAGTCTTTGCATGTTTTAGTCTCTTTTCAGTACACCTTGTTCAATAGCAGACTAATTATATTTTAAACAGTTCGTCAAATGTTGTTGTCTTTCTCTTTCCAAGAACGATCCAAAATGTATTTGACATGATCGTGTCTGTTTTATAAAAATGGCACTCATTCTCTAAACTTTAAGAACAACTCTTTCGAGAAAAAGAGAAGAAAAATGTTGGATCATCATCGTTGGAGCCGAGACACATTACGGTGATGAAGGTATCTTAAAGGAATCATTAAGCCAGCCATTGGACGATCACCCCGAAACTCGTCCTCGAATTTACTTAGCAGAGCTTGAAACCAAGGTTGGTTCAAGTATGAGACTGAAACTCCTAATAACTCTTCTTCTGGCTCCCTTTCACGTACACCACAAGGAATCTTTTTGAGGCTGGCCTTTTGCTCGTTAAAGGTTCTGCTGCTGCTGCTAACTGCTAAGTGTGGCCAAATATCTTTTTCGCACTCAATAGACTTCTCACCAAAGCCATTTCTACTCTTTTCTTTGTCTGAAGTTTTAAATTCTGTTTGTAGCTAATTCTGAAGATATGTATAAAGGAGGAAAAGGTTCAAGTTTTGGGATTGGTCATTGTTTGTTGCTTTATAAAGAGTTAGTTCTGTGAATTATTTACAGATCAATGAATGAGTTAAACTTGATACTTATGGTCTACAGTCAGACTAAAACAAAGACCAGCAAAGTTCTGTTCTTCATTAAGTTGTAATTGGTTCTTAATGTTGTTCAATAACAGAACATAAGTATCTGTCACTGGTTAAGTTGTTCCTTGATCACACAGGCCATTTCTAAGTAAAGAATATACAAGTGTCTCTCACGTCACCATTTCAGGAGACGAAATTCTTGGAGCTTTTGTTAAAGAAAAAGGAAGATACATAGGATCAAATCATAGATGTTACACTGATTCTGTTTCTCTCACTGTTACGTGAGCTATAAGAATGATATAGACAAATTGTTGAAAGTTGATGATCCATTCACTGTTTCTATATCTTATATCTTTTTTGTCAAAAGGGTTTTCTGATATTTTTTAGTGTGGCCAGAATCATCGATAGATTTTTTTTTTTTCTATTCCTACAATATATTTTTTTGGGTCAAGATATCTCTACAATTATTAACTCGAATTTTATAATCTTTATCAATTAATGAATGAGTTTAGGTAGGAATAGGAAAGAGTTTTAAGTGTATTATATATAGAGAGAAAAGAAGAGTGGACAATCGTAGAAACTTTTTTTGAAACTTGGAAGAATGACGACTTTGTCCGATCTTTCAGTAGATTTGGTGGGTGAGATATTCTCTAGGGTTCCATTGATATCTCTGAGCGCAGTGCGATATACTTGTAAAACGTGGAACGCTTTATCCTGGAACGTTTTATCCGAAAATCATATTTTTGGTATAGCAGCAACTAGTAAGCAGTTTCTAGGGTTCGTAATAGTGGATTACAAGGTTTGTTCCCTGAGACTTGATCTCCAAGGAATCCACAACAACGATTTCGTTGATCCATCTATAAAGGAAATACAGATATACTTCATCAACACGAGATATCTAATATCTTTCACTGCGATGGCTTATTGTTATGTGTCGTCATAGACGGAAGGAGAAGGAAGCTCATGGTGTGGAACCCGTATTTAGGGCAATTCAGGTGGATCGAACCAAGAAGCAAATACCAAAAATTCCACAGATTAGACATGTATGCTTTCGGTTACGACAACAACAAGAACCGTAACCACAAAATCTTGAGGAAGTTTTTGGATGATGATGACTACAACGAAAGCAGTCAAAGAAATATTCCTTTCAAGTTCGAGATGTATTATTTTAACTCTGAATCATGGAGAGTTCTTGATGTCAATCCCGACTGTGATTTACGAAGAGGCGTGTCTTTGAAGGGAAATACTTATTCTTATGCTCGACAAATAATAGAGGTTGGAGATCCAGTTTCAAATAGTATTGATTTTTTACTCTGTTTTGATTTTATAGCAGAAAGGTTTGGACCGCGTCTTTCTCTACCGTTCCACTCTTACTATGAAAATACTGTGACTCTATCTTGTGTCAGAGAAGAGCAGCTCGCTGTGTTATACGAACACTACGAGACATGTTTGGTCATAGAGATTTGGATAACGACTAAGATCGAGCCCAATGTAGTATCGTGGACCAAGTTCTTCAAAATGGCATGGACACCGCTCTCTGATTTTTTGAGTAACTTTCATGTTGGGAGCTTCTTTATTGACGAGGAGAAGAAAATTTTGGTTTCCAAATCTCGTAAATATAGACAGAACGAAACCTGTGGATATGAAACAGTTGACATCATTGGACAAGATGGAGGATACTTCAAATCTGTGAAAATCGGAACAGATCATATCTCGAAACCTGAAAATTTTGGATATTATTGTGATCCACTTATGTTCTCTTCTTATGTTCCAAGTTTAGTGCAAGTACGACGAATCAATCAACTGGGCAAAAGGAAAGAAAGACATTATTAATCAGTTCCATTAACAATAATTTATTTGTTTCTTCTTGCATCATCTCCTTTTAAACAAGATTACTGATAGTCAATTATGCTTTTGCGATTTATCATCTTATAAAACTAAGTCGGCTTTTGCATGTCTTAACCTCTTTTCAATTGTTCATGTAAGATTTCATGTGGAAGTTCAAAGAGGAGCTGAGAGAATCATTTAGCTTCTTTGTTTATGATAGAAGCTTTCATGATATGATGATATTTTATAATAGTCTTCATTTCCCTTGATGCGTTGGTAATAGTCTTCATTAACCTCTTTTAACACTCTTAACAACATTACATTTTCCATCAGTTTCAGACTATAAAACTCCATAGAAGTATTTATAGAACCCTTGGAAATTAAACTAGAATGGTCTTTTTATGTGTTTTTTTTTTATAATGATTTGGTAAAGCAGAACTACATGGATGGTATTTCATAGTCATACTCTATACTCTGTAGACAGACTAGTACAGATTTTTTACCATCTGGAAAAAATGCATTAATGCAATTTCTCTACTTGGATAAAATCTCCATAATTCACAAGGGCTTGTTTCACTCAATTTGTTTTCAAAATCCTACTATAAAAAAGGTTGTGAAGGATACGGATTTTACTCTGCCATTTAATTAGATCAAAGTATATAAGCCAGTTTTGGTCATTTTAACCACTCACTCACCTTTGTAAATTCCAAATTGACCGAAAATTCCAAATTCCAAATTGACCACAAAAAAAATCAATCATTTCCTTCTGTATAAAAACATTTATTGCCAAATTTGAAAAGATTTCTTTGAGGAATACCCTTAAATCGTAAACTATCACATTTGTCTACCTATATTCACATTAAACCAAAAAAAAAAAAAAAACCCTAATTGCAGCCTTGGTTTTTCTGAAGTTTTAGAGAAATGACGACGACGATGTCAAATCTTCCAGAGGTTTTGGTAGAAGAGATTATCTCCAGGGTTCCCATTACATCTCTTGGATCATTCCGATCAAGCTGTAAAAAATGGGAGGCTTTATCGAAAACCCATCTTTTAGGTGGTAAAGCAGCAGAAGTAACCACAAGGAAGCAGTTACTAGGGTTTATCCTAGTTGATGACAAGATCTGTTCGATGAAACTCGATCTACATGGAATCACCAAAGACGGCGATGACTTTGTTGACACATCAGTGAATCAAGTAAGTGCACTTGATCTTGATGAATTGTCGATATCTCAAATCTTTCACTGCGACGGCTTATTGCTATGCGTCTTCAGCAAGAGGCTCATGGTGTGTAACATGTACTTGGGACAAACGAGGTTTATCAAACCCCGTCGCTTGTTCGAGAGATTCGATAAATCAGGCGTGTATGCTTTCGGATATGATGATAGCAGCAAAAACCGTAACCACAAAATCTTGAGAAACAAGTCTGTTGGTGGTGGTTACGAAATCTATAATTTCAGATCCGATTCATGGAAGGTTCTTAATGTTGATCTCGAAGAAGATACACAGCTTGATCAACAAGGAAGCTTGTCTTTGAAGGGAAATGCTTACTTTTTGGTGACAAAGACATTTGAAGAGACACTTGAAGTAGGAGAAGACTTAGAAGAAGCGATGGTATCAGAAGAGACTGAAGAATTTTTACTCTGTTTTGACTTCACAACAGAGAGATTTGGACAGCTTCTGTCTCTGCCGTTTCACTCTGAAGTTGATGATGACGGAGTTCGAGAAGACAATGTGGTTTTATCTTGTGTTAGAGATGAGCAGCTTGCCGTGTTACATCAAAGTGACACGACAATAGGTATTTGGATTTCCACTGAGATCGAGCCCAATGCGGTGTCGTGGAGAGAGTTTTTGGAAGTGGACTTGACGACGGTTGATGGTTTTCCGGATGACTTCAAAGCTGGGAGCTTCTTCGTTGACGAGGAGAAGCAAGTCGCCGTAGTTTTTGATCAAGAGACCGAGGCCGGTGGCAACCACACAGCTTGCATCATTGGAAAAGATGGATACTTCAACTCTGTGAATGTTGGAGATATTCCGCCCCCATACTTCACTTCTTATGTTCCAAGCTTAGTGTCATTGCAAATCAAGAAGAAGGGCAAAAGAAAAGCAAGAGATTATTAGATGGTTTCATTTGCAATACTTTATTTGTTTCTATCACCCATTTGTTTCAGTCATTTACTTTCTTCTCCTTTTGAACAAGAGTACTAAAGAATTCTGTTTTTGCATGTTCCATCTTCTTTCTGATTTCTGCCTCATTACTTACTTGTTTCTGTGATCATTCAATAATGTTTAAGGCGATGCAATAAGTTAGTAATTAGTCTACTTCATTTTGTTGTTATAAATTTGGGATATTTGTTGCTGTAAACATCTTGATGCGTTTCCTGTTACTTAACTACTTTCTTGCCACAGTGAATTTAGGGTTGGAAAATGTTGAAACTAAATTACTTATTTTGTCTTCAGAGGCTAAAGTAGAAGAGGGAGGGAGAGAGTTAGAAGATGGAAAATAGTGCATTAATTGTCTACTTCACAGTAAAATAACACTGCAGATAACAATTTACACAAGCCTTTTATTTGGAAGCTAAGACAAACATAAAGAAGCTAGCTACTTCCACAATGAACAAAAGGAAACTGCCTCTCCTTTCCACATTAATCCAGCATAGGTATCTCCATCTTCCATTCTTACTTCCCAGTTGTTGTCATACTTTCTCAGTAAAGATTTGGCTCCATCAATTGCATCTTCTCCAAATGCTTCTGCGGCAAAACCAGCTTCTCTCATCCTTTCATACCATTTATCTTTTCCTTCATTCATCTCTCCTGTATTCATCAACACCTTTGTTGCCTCTCCTTCCATTAGTTTTCTCTCTTCACTATTCTCTTCTTTAAATCCTGAGCTTGTTGAATCCAGAAACTTCCATAGATACTCAAGTTTCTTCGAGAATCCTGCTGCAAAGTCCCCACTGGCACTACATTCTCCATTGTTCTCACAAAGGACCACTCCTTTTGGCCTCAAACTTCTCAGTGCTTTCAAAGTCTCGCCTCTCTCATCAGGGATGCTATGCTTCAGGGGATGCAGCCTAAACTGAACACAGACTATTAAGGTCTCGTGAGGTGAGGTATCAATGAGCTGGAACTTGTCAAGTACACTAATCTGAAGGTTGATCTTGAGAGACCGAGCAAAGCCAAGGAGTTGAGAACCATAATTGTAAGCTGGTGGACCAACAGAGAAAGGTATGTCTGCGGTTAGATCAGATACAACGGTTATTCGAACACAAGGAGGAGGTCCTTCTGGTCTGCAGCTCAGAGCCTCCAACAAAGTGGGCCATTGCATACCGTGAGAAACACCAATATCAAGAATATGAAGATCCTTTTTATATATGGGATCCTGTGCTAGAATCTGCAGGATAGCTGAGTTTGCCATGTTATTAGGCAAAGCAAACCAAGGGCTTACCTCGTAGAACTTAAGCAGAGTCTTTTGAAACATCTTCACTTCTGCTGAAGCAAAAGTAAAAACAGGCCAAAAAGATGATGACACAGAGGATGATGAGGAAAGATGATGTTGCAAAGCCCGAAGACCAAAAGCTGCAAGCCGACGATTAGCATCGCCAGAAGAAGAGGCCAGTTCAGAGAGAACACAAAGGTAATGTTGAACCCTTGATGAGTTACTTGCCGTAATGGCCAAGGCACAAGGGTTAAGCAATTTCTCTGCCCATCTACCTTCCTTGTTACCATCTTTGCTGCTCTTCTCACTAGACTTGATTGCTTTTCTCTTGCTCCTTGCCGATTTTTTCACCTGTTGTGCCTCGATAACCCCGTCGCGGCTCCTTTTCCTGGACTGATCATTTTGTTGCTGAAGTTCAGGTGGAGGATCCAAATCAATGGATGGAGCTTCTGTTACCACTTCCAGGTTAGTTGCTTCAAAACCCACATATGCACTAAGATCTTGACTATAGCTTTGAATAAAACCATGTTCCGGATCTTGAGTCTGATCCCATTCCCACGTTTGAGTCCCATCAAACTCGTGGAGCAAATAAGAATCATCAAATCCTGGTAATGGGGATAAGGACACAGAATCCTCAAGCCAGCTTAGGACATGATCTAGAGTCTGGTTTGGTGGTTCTGTTTCTTCCAACAACATTTAACAGATGATGAAAAAGGTATAATTTGTGACTAGGTGATATAGTTTAAGGTATAAGATTAACAGTAACAGGAATAGAAAACAAATGGATATATGGAGAATTTCTAGATGAGATTCGAATATATATTGAAATGGCGTGTGATCTGTATATATGGGAGTGTGTCAAAGACTATATTAATTAGTAACTACCTTTGGAAAATGGTTATAAGACTTGAGAAAATACCATTTGAATATTACAATTTGATTTGCATTTCATTAGTCAATTAGTCTCTTCACTTATTGCGATTTGGGACCATTGATGTAGGTTATACTAAACTGAATATGTTGCATATCAGACATTATATAATGTTATATTTGTTTTTGTTTAATATAGAAAATTTGAGAAATGAAAGTATCAATCTGTACTATGATGTTCTCATTAGTATTAAACAAAAACAAGGCTTAGATTGTGGGGACATAATATGACGCATGCATAGAATCTGGTGTTATCTTCTTTTAATTTTGTTGGTCTCTAAGATAATCTTTTTCATGGTCTTGCGTTTTTTTCTTCCAATGAAAACAGTATTTGTTTGAATTATTATTACCGATGTTGGCGTATTCGTTTAGAATTATGTAGAAGAAAACGGTTTCCGAAGCCATAAAATATCAATCAACCATGCATGCATATTCGTCCCAGTCTCATACTTTTGTTGATATATTTATGTTTGTTGAAATGAATATCAACATGTCCAAAACTAGTGATTTTTTTTGTTAATGTGGAATTATCTTTCATCTGATTGTTGGTCAAAATCTACCACTGTATTTGGTCCCAATCCATCTCCTTTTAATTGTATAGATAAAGAAGTTATTACAAAAGAAAACTACAGCTTTAACATTTTCAACAACATTACATTTAACTCCATAGAACCCTTGAAAAACTAGAATGGTCTTTGATGGAGTTTTTTTTGTTTTTTCTCTTATTGGTTCAGTAAGGAAGAATTACATGAATAATAGTACTTATTTAGAAGGTGGTGGTGCCTTGGAAGCATCTTGCTTTTGATCTTGCTTAGATCCTCCACTCACAGCAGCGGTTGCAGCTACGGTCATAGCTGTAGCAGCTGCACCAAGCTTAACACCTCCAGCTGCTTTCATTGCAGCCGCGACTTTTGCAAATATAGCCACTCCACCTACTAAGATACCTCTCAAAGCGACTGTGGGTTTCACCGACATTTTTGTTTAATCCTGCACATTTTCATATCAAAACTTTGGTCATAAAGATGTTACAAAGACATAAAGGAAAGCAACTTTATCTTCTGCTCCAAAGAAACTATGCAAACCGACATCTAATTTCACTATATGCTAAATTATAAGAATCAAGAAAACTCTGCATTAGAGAGAAGTAACATCTAGATAACAAAATATTTACTTCCCAATACATATCATTGAGAGCTATGATGGTTTCACATGGTTTTTAAGAAATACACCAAGAAACATAATTTTATAAAACTATACAACTCTCAAAGAGTTCCATAAAACATAATTTCATCAAACCATACAACTCTCAAAGCTATATTGATTTGTTCCAAATAGCTATAAGATGCATTCGAACATTTAGCATTTAAAGATTACAAGTTTCAGAAGCAAAAAGTCACAAGTTTTCAGATTAAATCACAAATTTTGTCCCCAACCCAATTGCAACACCAGATCAATTAGCCTGATTTTAAATCTCAAATTGGTCCCGATTTACTATCCAAGCCGAATCTCTAACCAAAATTGCATTGAAAAATTTGGATCTTTTTATCCATATTCAACGAAATCCATTCATTGTTACTTATCGACCAAAGAATCTAGAACATCGGCTATAACGTTTTCTACCAATAGTGACACAAAATCAGAATAAAATCCAAAATCCAACTACGAAACTAACAATCATAAGAAAAAGAACGAAATTAAGATCGTTTCAGAACCTGAGCAAAGCCTTTAATCTGAGAGAAACAAAGAGACAACTGTATAAACAAAAAGAGTATTTCTTTGAGATTCAAATAAATCAATTTTCAGTCTAATAATGTTTAAAACTTTCGATTCAGGTTTTGTCGGAAAAACTCACCGTCAATGCCCTTCTTCGTCTCTTTGCTATCGGCGACAACTTCTCTCCTTCTCAGAAGAAACTGCTACCGAGTTTGTAACAAACAATTTAAACGACGCCGTTTCACGAACTCCTCATATTAAACACTTTTCTCGTTACGACGTCGTTTTGCCTCTACGTTTTAAATCCTTTTCCCTACGACGTCGTATTGAACACTTGACTTCCCAATTAACAGAAACAGCATTATGTTCCCCGTCGCCGGCGGTTCAGACGCCGTCAATACAAGATCACAACCGCATCAGAAGCAGTCTCTACCTTCTTATTTCCATCTCTATCCAGTAATATATCATTAGCGTTCAACTCTTTTTGATTATATCTGTTCTTCGTTAATGGCTGTGATTTTTGCAGTTGGTAGAGAAATTATCCGATGAAATTGAAACTGGAAGTTTGATTCACTGGTTCGTTCAAATAATCCCATTTAACTTTTCTTCCTTCTTTGTTTGTTTCTTGGATCTTGGTTTCGTTTTTATTTGGGATTTGCAGGTGAGTGACTACGGTAACATTTGAAACTCGTCACATTTTTAGCTCACGAGAAGACAGGTTTGTTGCTTCTTCTGCTTTTGGTGTTTTCACACTAAGTAGTGTGTTTGTGAAGTGAGCTTTGCATATACAACAACTTAGTTTTGTTTTGCATTTTTATTAGTTTTAATGTTCTTGTTTTTTAAAGCTTTTTGCCCATGGGAATTTATGGATCTTGTGTGTTAGACTGTTGATGGACAGATACGAAAGCTGGAAGAATCCGACAAGGCACTCGGACAAAGAAGGTGCAATCTTGTTCCTAAGTTTGTTTCTTCCATTTTCTCATGGAATTTTGATGGCCTTATAGGAAACATCAACCTTAGTCACTGTTACATTTTTCTTCTCGAGTTACACGTATAGCATTGTGTTTCGAGTTTATACTGAATATCTTGAGCTATTGATGCATCTAGAAACGTTACCAAAATGTGTTGCATTTGTTGCTGTTATGACCAACTTGTATCGTTCTTGGTTTTTCTGGTTTCAGACTCTTCTACGATATGGAGATTGTCTCACATCACAAGTCAAATAAGCCAGATCGAAGAAGAAAAGAATTAACAATGCTAGTGGTTTTTCTTTAAGAAGATCATTGGAAGGTTCCATGTTCGAGTAGGTTGTACGAAAATCATTATGAATCCCTCATGCCTTGTAGTTTGTTTTGGAATCTTAACCCGTAACATAAACTTCTTGTTAAGCTTCTAGTTTTTGCTTTTGAAGACGAAGAACAAAAAGGAGGTTTAAAAACTGGTAACGCAAGCTCATCTAACCATATACTTTTTTATCTTCTTACATCCATACACATAATTTCATAAGCTATACATAGCTAATTATTAGTAAATTTCCAGTCGTCCATTCTATTTTTCACCATTAGGAAGGACACGACCATATTCACTTCTATCACTTTCTAAATATAGGACACTACCCCCATGACTTGAATTGGTCAAAATCTCTTTCTCTCTCTCTTGTCTCATTTTCTCTGTCTTATATCAGCTTGTCTCTCCTCCCTCATTTCTCTCCATTCCCCTGCATTTCCTTCCCACCAGGAGAAAACTAAGGAACCGAACTCGCCAAACCCGTCAAACAAAATATGCCCTCAGGCAAACCTTCTTCTGTATTCCCTTTACATCCCAAACCAACACCATTAAAACCTTCTAGCAGCAGCACCAGCAACACCAATAGCAGCACAAACCAAGCCTGCGCCGCCTGCAAATACCAACGCAGGAAATGCGCTCCCGATTGTCTTCTCGCTCCTTATTTCCCTCACGACCGTCACCGCCAATTCCTTAACGCGCATAAGCTCTTTGGAGTCAGCAACATCACCAAGATCATCAAATCCCTTACCCCTCCTGAGAAAGACGCAGCTATGCATACAATCATGTTTCAATCCGATGCTCGTGCCAGTGATCCTGTTGATGGATGCTATGGCATCATAAGAAAGCTTCAATACCAGATCGAATACACCAGAAACGAATTGGAGATTGTTCTTCAGCAATTGGCTATGTTCCGTGACCGTGCTCATCATCATCATCAAGAACCGCAAATCCAGATGCAAGAACCAGAGGATCTCTCAAGTTTTTCGAGTTCTTGTGATATAAACAACAACAACTCGATTCCTTACAATTACGCTCTGAATCACATTCAAGAACCAAATCAACAACAACAACAATATTGTTCTTCCGGTAATAACTTCAATGGGTTACAAGAAGACATGTGGTGTCTTCAACTTCAAGATTCATCAACGACAGTGAATATGAAGGCTGGTTTCATTGATGAATGTGAAGACGTTAAGCCTGTGGAAGAGGTTTCTAGCGAAAGACACGAGTTCGAGCCTCATGAAGCTTTCGTTGAACAACGGAAACTCGACTTGCCTCCAGCACAATTCATCATTTCTTCTTAGCTTTATTCTTCTTCTTCATTTATACAGTTTTTTTGTTAATCAGCTTACATTTTCTTGAAACGTAGCCTTCGTTTTCTTCTTCTTTTTTTTCTTTCCATTCGGAGTTTTTGTATCTTGTTTCATAGTTTGTCGCAGGATTAGAATGAATAGGCATGGAATATTCAAGAATTTGGTTGAATAAAATATTTTCATTCTTAAGGTATGAAGATAGGCTAGAACGAATGTGAAATAATAAAAAAGGCCCATGAGAATCTGAAAGAAGAGAAGCAGGCCCATTTATATTAAAAAGAACAGTAGTATCTATTTCTTAAATAGGCCCATTTAAGTTGAAAACAATCTTGAAAAGTCCCACATCGCTTATACGGAAGAAAGAAGCTGCGTTTATATACCGTCAGAGGCGAGTAAGCGATTGTCCCTTCGGGGACATCCGATAAAATTGGAACGATACAGAGAAGATTAGCATGGCCCCTGCGCAAGGATGACACGCATAAATCGAGAAATGGTCCAAATTTTTTTTGCTAAATTTTCCAGATTGTTTTCTTCTTCTGGGTTTTTTTTTCCCCGTTTTTCTGAAATCCTGAACCCAAATTTCGAACGCATTTGAACGAACTTACTGAAACCTAAAATTTCACTGGAAAAAAATCTCAATAAAAATCTCAATAAAAGATGAGATAAACCAATAACTTTGCTTAGATCTTAATCACGGCGTTATACTCTAATGGCGGCGGAGGGTTCTTAATAATGATGCCATTTTCTCGAAGCAAGTCCATAAGATTTGTGAGAGTGTGATTCAATTGGTTCGTTAATTGATTACTGGTTAAGTGCCAATTGGAAGAGATGAAGATTGGTTTGAGAAGTTGTCAGATTTGCAAAAGGATTAGAAAGACTCCTTCTGGTTTAGAGGGTTTCTTAATTTCGGTTTTGCATTTTGTATAAGCCTCTCTCTTGTTCTTTCTCTGTATTGCAAATTTCTCATTCTTGTAAAATCTCTGAAGCTGTGTTCTTGAGCTCAAGAGAGAAACGATTGATTCTTCATAGTGGATTACTGGATTGAATCTGGCCCCAGACGTAGATTCATCATACCGATGAATTGAACTGGGTAAACAATTGTGTGTTCTTGCTTATTACTTTCTGCGTTTGATATTCGGATTGAAATCTTGGAAAGTTCGTAAGTTTGAGCTGGTTTGTGCTGAGAGTAAGGGTTATTCGAGTCATCGGTTTTAACAAGATTCGTAATTAACATTATTTAAGCTCAAATTTCGTAATATAATTTTGAATTCAACAAAATTCATAAAAACTTCTCTTCAACAATATAAAGAATCAGACCCACAAATTTAAATCGACAACGTTTCTAACTTGGTAGAAAAAAAATCATCAAAAAAGAAAGATTTGAATGCTTTTTCTAAATAGAGGTCCAAGATCACATGCCCATGCTGGCCATATCAGGGACATGGTTTGGAGTGTTCTCGTCTGCCTTCACAAGCACTGAGGCTTCTGTTGTTGTCAAAAGCAAAGAAACGCTGCGTTTTCAACACACATGACAAGGAGTTAGTTTCTTATTCCCACAGAAGCAAGAAGCAACCAACGGTTTTGAGTTTTAGGACACTCTTTACCTAGCGGCATCGGTTAAGGCGGTTCTGATCACCTTGACTGGGTCTATGATTCCAGATTTCACCATATCCACATATGTACCTATGGCAACACGAAACAACAACGGTAGACACTTTCAGAGATTGATGAGATTTGTGTTTTGAGAATGTTCTCAAAGACACTAAGTTTCTAACCTTTGGCAGCATCGAAACCAAAATTGCAATCGTCCTGCTCTAATAACTTGCCAACCACTAAAGAACCATCGTAACCGGCATTTTCAGCTATTGTAAATGCAGGAGCCTACACAAGATTCACAACATCATGTCAGGTTTTACAGTTTGGGACATGGACGGATATCTTTCATCAAGAGGAAGTTAGAGATTATAAACCTTGAGAGCATTCTGAACAATTTGAACACCTCTTCTTTGATCCTCGTTTTGAGTTTGAAGGTTGTCTAAAGCCTTTGTCGCATATAATAGAGCCACACCACCACCTATTTGAAATTTCCATAGTTAAAAAAACAATATAATGAAATAATCAGAGAAAGTAGAGATAACAAACAAATAATATTTACTTACCCGGTATGATGCCTTCTTCTACAGCTGCTCTTGTAGCGTTTAAAGCATCAGTGACTCTGTCTTTTCTCTCTCCAACTTCAGATTCACTTGCCCCTCCCACCTATATAGGAACCAGACACATATCAGCTACTTTCGGCATGCAAGAGTTTAGAAAGATCGATTGATGGGTGATTGACTAACCTTGAAGACTGCAACACCACCAGATAGTTTTGAGAGTCTTTCTTGCGTTTTCTCTTTATCAAAAGTGGAGGTACTCTTTTCATTGGCTGATCTTAACTGTAGAGCATGAGAGTAAAAAAGGATTGCTTCTACTGTATAAAGTGTATTCTAGTGAGCAAGGTTCATGATAGAGATATTGTAAGAAAATAATCATATACCTCTTCACATCTTTCTTCGATTAGCTTTTTATCACCACCACCATGTAGGATAATAGTGTCATCACGGGTGATGGTAACCTAGTTCAAATAATTTGTGTTACATTTGAATCACACAAAAGCAAAAACAGAAACCAGATATGACTTCTCCTATTACCTTCTTCGCAGTTCCAAGCAATTCAGGGCGAATTTTTTCTAGAGATAGCCCACGCTCCTCAGAGATAACCTGTGCATAAACTACTGAGTTAGAAAATAAAAACGTGACACAAACATAAATATAGGTTGTTTCTGAGAAATTTCTACCTCTGCACCAGTAAGAACCGCAAGATCATCCAAGCTTGCTTTCCTGTTGTCACCGAACCCCGGAGCCTTGATAGCGCATACCTTAAACCCAGCATGATGCTTATTAAGAATTAGCATAGCTAATGCATCACTCTCAACATCTTCTGCTACAATAAGAAGTGGTCTGCTACTCTGCACAACCACAAATAATAAGAGAAAGAAGTGAGTGGAGTTTGTATAGCAAACTATAGAAACCGCCAAACCGGACTTCAGAACATAGTATATAGATAATCAAGGGAAGGCATTACTTGCACAGCTGCTTCTAAAACTTTCAACAAAGAGTTAATGTCTGAAATCTTCTTCTCATGAATGAGGATGATGGGATTTTCAAGCTCCTGAAAAACAAGCATAGTTAGTTCAATACCCTTTCTTTCCTTTTCACACAATACTAAACACGATAGATTTCACTCACGCATTTCTGGGTCTTCTCATCCGTGATAAAATAAGGAGAAATGTAACCTCTGGCTAGCTTCATTCCTTCCACTACTTCCAGCTCGTTATCTAAAGTGTTACCATCCTGGGTATTTGAAGAATAATACTGCGATCAGACAATCATCAAGTGATTTATTACAAGGCATGCGAAGAAAAGTAAGCTTACAGCAACAGTGATAACCCCTTCCTTTCCAACTTTCTCCATGGCTCTTGCAATTAATTCCCCTATCTCACGCTCCCCATTTGCAGATATAGTGGCAACCTATCAAAGGAATACATATATGCAATAGCAGTAGTAGATCAACCTTTGGAACAGCATTCACAATTCCTGACTTGATGAATATGTTTCTAAGTTCACCTGTGTGATCTCTTCTGGGGTGCTAATCATAACAGCTCTGCTTTTCAAATCAGAGACAACTGCAGAAATTGCCATATTTATGCCAACACGCAAATCCATCACGTTTACACCAGCAGCCACTGACTTGCAGCCTTCGATGAGTATCGCCTGAGTCAAAACAGTAGCACAAGTGGTACCTATATAACGAAAGGAAGGCAAGCAGAAATTAAGACTTGTTATTATCCCTGCAGCTTATGTTTTCACTAAAAACTAAATTCAAGATTTTTAACTCAAAAGAGAAAATATTACCATCTCCAGCGACCTTGTTAGTGGCACTTGCAACCTGTTTCACGAGTTCCGCACCAATGTTCTTAGCTTTTGCTTGAAATGATATGCTTTTTGCAACGGTGACACCATCCTTTGTGATCTTTGGTCCGCCGTAACTACTCTCAATTATCACATTTCTTCCCTAACACCACAGAATTAAAATAAAGATATTGAATTTGAATGACTCTTTTCCAGAACAATCCAATCTACATTGATCTAAACCTTGTGAGAACAAAATATATATACCTTTGGCCCCATTGTGACTTTCACAGCTTCTGCAACCTCGGATACACCTTGCAACATAGCTGCCCGAGCTCCGACCCCGAAACTGATATCCTTGGCCGCATAGTTTCTGCTACTTATAATCCGCCCAGAAACCTTCACGGTAAAAGAGAGAACACCAAAAGAAAACCACAATTGGAATTAAATAGTTTGATACAGGGCACGGCCAATACAAGCTAATCAGTCAGGGTACAGCACTTGGAACCGATTAAAACCAGAGCAATTCTGAAAATGAAGTAGCTCAAGATGGAGATTTTGATGTAAACCCTATTTATTTTTCACTGCATCATTGATGCAACTATCTGGACTTGTAATTTGACACATTTCTAGCACTTTCTCGGTTACCAACAAACGAAATGCAATCAAACTCGCAAAAAAGACACAGAGAGTTCACGAAACTCACCAGTTTCCTGGAAGTAGACGAGCTGCAAAACAATCAAACCCAGAAAGAGGAAGAAGAAAATTAAGCTCTGCCCATCAATACAAATTGATCGAGAAAATTACAAGTTTTGAATAAACTCACTGAATGAAAGAACGAAACGTACCCAATTGAAGAAGATAACTTTGATAGAACTCGATACATTTCCGCTTGCAAAGAACTAGAGAAGGAGAGGCTTCAAGGGTTTAGGGTTTTTCTGGGGTTTTTTTACTTTGGTGGTGGTGATCAAGGAAATTAGTTTTCGTCCAACGACGAGTGAAACTTTTTTTCTTGTAGAAAAGCTTAAAGTCTGGAACTTTCCGTTTACTTTGCTCTGTTTCTGCAACTCCACAATTAGGTTTACAGTTTCATCCATTATCTTAGGCCCATTTTTGTTTTCCAATGGCCCAAATTCTAGGCCTACATGAATTACACTATGAACTTTCATTTACCATAGCAATGAGAACCTGAAATTCTCTTCAATCAACAAACCAAATCAAAAACCGGTTTCTCCTCGAGTAACATTCTTTCATCAGATACAATAAACCACATCACTACAGAACTCGTAAACAAATAAATCTTGAGTTTTTTTTGTTTGTCTGCATCAGAATCTTAGTCTAGGAACATACAAGATCACTTTGGCACCTGCAAGAGGAACCATCGCCATCGGAGACATAAAACATATGGCTCTCGGTGAATCTCTCTGATCAACACCAAAAATGAGAGCTACCTTTTTTAAAGGGTAACGAATTTTAAGTATCTAGCTTCGTGTGCTCGCACAACAGCTTAAGCTTGTATAGTTCTTCCTTCTATGCACTTGTATCAATGGGTACGT